GAGTGAGGGTTTAATAATGATACAAACCCACGATATGTAACACCTCAAAGCAGCACATTGGCACAAAGTCAGAAGTAAGACAGCACAGAAGATAAAAACCTGTCTCAAAAAATAAAGAATCAGAATAAATATCTCAATAAATAAACAGGTCATATCTCAATAATTACTTTGAAACTAATAAATACGTACATGTGAAAATATTGGCAGAAATCAATGACCCCCAAAAGTAAAGGAAAAGTACTTAATACAGAGTTACTTTGAAATCAAAAGTTATTGATTACTCAAATCAAAAGGCACATTTATTAAGATGTAAGGATGGGACCTGCATTGTGATTGCATGACTGTCAGAGTTGAACTCTTCTGAACCAGAAGGAGCAAACTGGGTGCAATGGCTTTACTGGTTCGGTTAAATCTGCACCGTCAGGGGGCTCGACGGTGTGGTTTGTGGTGCACGGGGTCGCAGATTAGTGGGGACGGTGTTTGTGCGTCAAACTAACAGTTTGTTTACGATCGGGGGACCGACTGAGACCCGGATATTTGGGAATGGGATCGGTCCGTCAAAACTATCGGTTCGTTTACGATCGGGGGACCGACTGAGACAAATATATTTGTTTGAGGTTACGGTGTCAAACGGTTTGATCACGATCGGTTAACCGACTGAGACCCGGATGTTTGGGGAGGGCATCGGTCCGTCAATACGAACTGTTCGTTTACGATTGGAAATGATGTCGGTGCCTCAAGCTAACTAACGGTTCTCTTACGACCGGGCTCTGAGACCCGGATGTTGGTTTCTGCGTTCGTTGTGAGCGTGTCCTGAGTGAACCCCGCTGTTTTTAAGTCACTTTGGGGAAGAAGAAAAAAGCTCTAAATCTAAGCTTCTGGAAGTCTCATTCTGCCAAAAATGATTTTAATGTTTTTTGTTTTTTTTTAATTTTCTTTTATGGGAATCCTGGATTTCAGAAATCCACAGACCCTTGCAGGCTTTTGGGACTTTTATTCTTTGGTGCTCATTAGTTTTTATGTATCGAGGACAAAAAAAATACCACTATCCAATACATAAAAATATAGTTTAAGATAAAATTAAAATCAGGTATTAAATTAATAAATATACATAATCATTCAAATGTGTCAATTTATGTAATTTGAATTGAAGTTTTAATATTTTTTATAAATATAATCATTTAAGACTAAGAAAAATGTATTCATAGTTAAAACAAAAAAGTATGTCTAAGCTTTTATTTGTGATAATTTAATAAATAAAATGTACTAATTGCATAAACAAGTGCATCAGATTATTAAAATCTTAATTGCATCAACAGTTGAAATGTTGATGAAAATTTGATTGACTTTTCAAGATTTTTGTGATAATTTTAATAGAACTGTTATAAATTACAGAATAACATAGTGAAATGTGTCAGATGTATTTACACAATTAAGTGTGCAAATCATAAGAACTTTAATCTGAGTTTTAAGATTAAGATTGTATTTATATCTGTGGTAATTGAATAAACTAAATGCAATTAAATAAAACTACTTTATTAGATGCTAATAATTTAATACACAACTAATGTAAAAATAAGTGACTCGAATCTGATTACTATATATTTTGACTCATAATAATTTCAGTATTTATCTAATTATTTCATATTTCTTGTGCTACAGTTTAGCGGTGCCATTTCAACAAATAGATTCCTAAAGCTGATTGGTCAATTTGCACAGCAACTCAACTGCAGACCAATCAGATTGCACATTGCTGTGTTGGACCCACCCACTGACTTTGACGAATAAGGATGACAGACAAAAGAAAATCCCATTGTGCTGCAACACAACACTATGAAATACTTAAATATAAATGTTAAGTAATTATATGTTTTTCAGTTTTATTTACTTTATCGCCTATGTAAATATTTATTTCTCAACTTTTATATTGAATTGTGGCTCTTTTGGCCCTCGATATATTGGATAATCTTCATTATTTACTGTCCAACATTCCCATAACTTGAGTTCTTCCTTTTTTATACTGAAGTTCTTCGGATTCTGTGGGAAATCTTTTGACTTTCAACATTTTAATTGAAGCTGACACTGAGACAAACTGCATGAATTTAAATGAAGACACCTCAGATAAACAAAATACGGAGAATCCAATGTACTTTTAAAAATACTTTGGGATAAATTAGTCTTTATGTGCAGCTATCAGATATTTGGTCAATTTAAGCCAAATAACATTGGAACATTGCTGCAGAATAGAAAAAAAATGTGGATGTTTAGTCGGTGGTTTTACTTTTTAGCCCCACAGAGGAGAAAAAAAATCACCAACATGAAAAAACTAATTTATTTCAGCACCTTGTCTGATTCACTAGGAGTGGGATGACCGTTTTTATGATTCATATCAAAACTTAATGGTGAAATGGAGGCAAAGAAATGTTTACTGCTTAAAAAACAGAGCCGGCCCAAAACATAAGCAAACTGAGCCGCTCCTTCGAACCACAAAAACAATCTGGGGGCCCATAAAAATACTTCCGCTCACAACCTGAACATTTATCTAGAAACCCTTTTTTCAACATAATTTATGAATTGTTAAATTATTTAACTGCTACAATTTACTTTTATTTACCACTTGGTGAGTTTACTAGTTGTAAATCTAAACAAAATTCTCTATATGGTTTTATTACAGTACTATTTAATTAGAACATAGTCAAAGTTAATTTATTTCAATATTTAGACTCTGATATTGATTAATCACTGTCGGAGTGATAGATTTCAAGCAGCATGTTTGGAGCTTACTGCTAATGAAAACCAACAGTTCTGGATGATAGAAAGTTAGAAATTATTCCACAAAGGCTAATCAACAATAGATTCGTCTTTGCGTACAAACTACTGGGTCAAAACATATTTTTAGAAAGTTGGGTGCTCGGGTAAGTTTCCCTCTCAAACATGCGACTTATAGTTCCGAAAATACCCTATTTGCAATTAACTAATAGTTTAACATTATCACTTTTTCAAATAGGCCAAAGTTATTTATTTTTAATATTTTTAAAAAAGCTTCCAAATATGAATTGAAATCAGGTTTCTTGTTATAGGCCTAACCACTAGGTGGCCCCAAATCTACCTGCTCAGCCTCATCTCAGGAAAATATTATAATCATGGAAAGAAGTTTAATGACTGCAGATCTGTTTATTCAAATTCACTAAAAATTATTTTTTTTATTAACTTATAGATTACTTTTTTCTTTTTCATTATATATTTTTAATTAGTTTAAGTCACATCATGATGCGTAATTTTAACTGTAATAAATGGTAGAGTTTTAGTGGAGCATCTCTGATGAACTAAACTAAACCCCCAAGCTGGAAACAGCCCTGATTGAAACAATCAGTAGTAGCTGGTGGGCTTAACAGGAAGTGGGCCCCCTAAAAGTTCACTTTAAGGCCCCAGAAAACTTTGGACCGGCTCTGTTGAAACAAAATTCAGCGCACTAAGAACTATTATGAACCAGAATATGATTTATAAGTCTTTGTAGTTGTCATTGCAGCGTCCCTCAACAATAATTGTCTGCATTTTACTCGTCAACTAGAAGACGAAGCTCGTGGTCTCAGATGTTCAATGAAGACTGCACGCGTTTGTGCTTTCTCGTTCTGAACCCCCCGTTTGTTTTTATCTCTAACCCAGGTTTGAGAAACATCTGAGGTAAAATTAGAGGTAAAGGGTGACGTCTGTTCAACATGAAACAAATAACTTCCCCAAGAGCTCTGTGAATATGTGGTGTGTTTGGTGTATGTGTGTGTGTGTGTGTGTGTGTGTGTGTGTGTGTGTGTGTTTGGGGATTCCGTCGATGTGTTTTACATTTAATAAAATATACCAATTAAAATTATAACAATCATATATATAAACATCTTTTGTTGTTTTTTTTAAAGATTTTCTTTTTAAATAAAAAACCAAAACAAACGGACATTTGAAACAGTGTACACACCATTGTTGCCTCTGCAAACTCTCCTTCTTTGCTTCTTTGCTAACGTCATTGACAAGCTGACAGATAAATCAGCCACACTGCATAAACACAAAATCTTACCAAGTATTTTTTAGTTTCTAGTGCAAACATTTTAGTACACTTGAAATAAGACAAAACTTTCTCACAAGTAGCTTTTCAGCAAGATGTATGAGCTTGTTTTATGTCAATAATTCCTTAATACTGATTTTAAAAAAGTACTAGTTCCACAGGCAGGTTATTTAACTTATAACAGGAAAAATGTCTTTATTATAAGTGTAAAAATCTGCCAGTTGAACTAGTACCTTTTTATCAATATTAAGGATTTATTGTCTTAAAACAAGCTCCTATACACTGTAGAGCTGAAATTAATAATTGAATTAATCGTAATGAATCAATTAATCATTAACTAATTTAGTAAACTGATTAATCGTTAACTTGAGTATACAGACTCTAAAACATGCTGTTTGCTGAAACAGCAACGCACTCAGAGCAGTAATTAAGCCAAACCTGTACACAAAATATATACATTTTGCATTGAAGATAAAAAAAAATCTTCTGTCTGTAAAGATGTTCTACTCAGAACTCCTCAAGTTTTAGTTTCAACTGATTGAAGTGCTGTAAAATTTCTTATTAATAGTTTTTGCTATCCAGTTAGTAATCCGTTAATAAAACAGTAACAATAAACAAATTAGCCCTACAATCATTTGTTTATTGGCATTTTATGTATGTGTATTATTATATAAAATAAGCTTAAGTGATTAAATAAAAAATCTGCACAATGTACCAATTGTTTTATATGATTATTTGATTAAATAGAATAAATGTTTACTAAGCTGATGCAGCTCTAGAGTAACTGCATTTTTAGTTAGCGGAGAGTGTTAGCGCTATATATATGTGGCTGCTGGCGGCTAATGATGCTGGAAAATATAAAAAATTGGCAGATTAAAAAAGTGTTTTAAAGGGCAATTTCGCTGTTTTTTAAAGATTTGAACTCCTGGATTATTATTTCATTTTGTTAAAGTAATTTGACACTCATGAAATCTGAAATGCCTTTACTAAGGACACATGAAATATATTTTTAAGAATGTTTTTGACATTGACGTCTAAATAAACACAATAAGCCTCTTTGGCTTGGTCAATGTTTTTATAACCTGATTAATTGTAAGAATAACCGATTACTAAAATAATTGTTAGCTGCAGACATAATATCATGCTGAAATGTTACTTGTAAGTTAGTTTGTCTTATTTTAAAGTTTAACTTTTATGCTTTAGGATATGAACTTTATAAAACATGTTCATTATATTTTCTCCACAAAATCATTCTTCGATAATGTGATTTTAGTCTGGCCAGTTCTTCTGCTCAAATTGAGTTGTTTTATGGACAACTTTAAATCCAAGCAAGCTGCTGCTAGCCACGGCCACTAAATCAACTTTTACTATCGCATGTGAAAATGGCTGCAATTATTTGACCATACAAACATCTTTGAAAAGCAGAAGTAGGGTCTCCTACACAACCAACAGGAATGTGGCAAGTGCTTTCTGAATAGCACGTCAGCAACAAAACATTTCTGTTTTCCAGCAACCATTCGTGCTCGAGTTGGCGTTGCTAGGTGATGGGCTGGGGTTGCTAGGTAACACCCGTCAAATGGAGGTTTTTGAAAGGATTCATTTTCCAGACACCGAAAAATGGCTGGGTGTTTTCTTTTTAAGGGCTTGGGTTGTTTTTTGAAGTAGTACAAGTAGAAAAACCAAGTAAATGTACTAAGATATTTGCAGTAAAAACCAGACAAAAAAAAACACACTTGGTGAGATTCGGTGTTTTTGCAGTGCGCTCCCCCAGTGAATCCACTACGAAGGCTCCAGATGACTCCCAGAGAGCCCAGTCAGAGTGCAGAGCACCTGGACCGTCGAGGAAGGCCCCCGGCTGAAAAGAGAAAGAGCTGAAATCAGTGGAAAGCTGCGGGGCTTTGGAGGACCGCCGTCGGGTGCTCGGTTCCACCCGGTCCAGGGAAGCCCTCCAGCCCCTCAGCCTGGCCTCATCGGACCGCTTTGTGCTTCCCCCCGCAGCAGCCGCACCTCTCCCCGCATCGCAGGCAGGCGCGCAGAGGCAGGTAGCAGCACATGCAGGGCACGAAGAGCGACAGGGCCAGCAGGGCCAACCAGCGGGCGCAGCAGAGCGGGTGTGGGTGGCCCCCCATTGAGTCATCGCACGAACAGGGCTCCCAGAACTCCCCCTCCGAGTCCGACATGCAGTGGTACAGCAGGCTCTCCGCGCACCACACACAGGTCCACTGGCGGAGGCAGTGCAACGCCGGGTCGGGGGCGTCCCTGCAGCGGCCCCGCCCGTTCTCCGAGGCGCTGAACACTGAGCGGCAGTAGACGCAGCGAGACGAGCACGATGACGACGCCTGGGGGCACGGGCTGTCATCGTCGGGCGAGATGGCGCCCGGGTCGCTGCCGCCTGCCCCGCCTCTCTTACGAGTCCGGGAGGCGTGGATGCAGCAGGGGGACGGCGAGCCTTTGCTGGGCTCCTGCGGCGAGCCGGCACCTGAGGACACTCCAGACACGGCGTTGGGCATGGACATGCAGGTGGGGGACGACGAGGACAGGCGCTGGGAGGCTTTGCTGTCCAGGCTCACGGTGACCTCGCAGCCGGCCGGCCCCACGCCCGCCAGCTCCTTCTCGAAGCGAACCACGCACAGCTCCGACTTGTCCTGCAGGCTCCCGCCGCTGCCGACCACCACGCCGCCCGTCAGGCCCCCAACCATAGTCCTGGTCGCACCGGCGCGTCTGTAATCCTCGTAACCCCGAGAACCCCACAGGTCCTTGCAAGGGTCCACGCTGCGCAAATCTCCTTCCTCCAGCAGCGAAATGGTGGGCGACAGCGGGGAGAGAGGGGACGAGGCCGGGGGCCCCACAGGAGGAGTGGGTGGAGCAGGAGGCGGCGGCGGAGGCGCCGGCGGGTTCAACACGGTGGTCATTTGAGAGAGTTGGTGCTGTCCCGGCCTGGTGTGGATCTGTGGAGTCAAGTTTATTTGTTCAAAGTGCTTTGCACCAGCAGCTAATCAAGAAACAAACAATAAATATTAAATTTTTCCAAATTATCAAGCAAAGACGCATCAGACACATTGATCACTTCCTGCTACAAATGTGTGCAAAGATTGACGATAGTCCGCTAACATAATTCTATTAAATAAAAATTGTAATTTAAATCACACTGCATAAGTTTATTCATCCAATAAGTCATTAAAAACACGTAGCGCCGCCATCATCTTCCTCCTCCTCCTTCCACTTCTTTCTTCTTGTGTAGCGTTTTATTGGTAGCTTATNCCAACCCCCCGGGCAAAATCTTTAAAAAAAAAAAAAAAAAAAAAACACACAATGAAATCAGAATAGGTGAAAAAGGAATGCTTCAATCTAGACCTTTTCAGTCACTTTGGATTTGTGTGTCATTATTGGGTTGTTAAAGTAACGTTGAAGGTCCAAATCAAAGAACAGGATTATGTTTTAGTCTGAATCCCATTTGATTACCTTAAAATCTTATGCTACTTATTTAGTAACCACACGTCCTCTCCATGCGCTGCTGCAGTAAAAACGATGGACGGTTTCCTGATTGTTGTCTGCTACCCGGCCATCATGTGTACAGTGGGATCGTTATGGGTTTTACTCAGGATGAATGGTTGCAATGGGCTCGTTTTATGGGACCCGATTGGAAACCAGCCGTGATTACGATGGGCAGAGAGAGAGAGAGAGAGTTCAAACTGAGCAGCAAATCTACAAATGCTATGGGTCCCGCTCTTTATTAGGAGCTGTTCTGTGTTAACCCTGCGAAGGTGATTAAAGTGACACCAATCATGGTCAGATTCATTTTGTTATCGCCTCATGCTGTTCCTAATATGAATGTTAGCATGGTATTGCTTATTAAAGTTCAAGCTTTTTCTGTTTCTCTGATTTGAACTTGACTACTTAAAGTCTTGTTTTGTTTTTCGTGGAAAGCCTAACTACTTTCCATTAAACTCCTTGTTTTCTTTCTTTACAAGACGTTGAAGCATTAATGGAAGGCACTGCTGGGATGCTCTGAGAGGCATCAGTCTTTTGAGCTCTTCTTAAATTATGCAACAGCTGATGAGGCCGGTGCTGCTGTGGACATGTTGTCTCTAATCTGAGACGGCGTTTGCGATTTAGTGTTTGTTTTTTACCTTTGTGGTTCGCAGTTAACCCGTCAGGAGATATTCTATGCCCTGTGCCGATGAACTGTAAAACATCTTGAATTAATTGTGCTGGTTTTTTTTTTTTAGTATGTGTGGAAGAGGACTTATTAATATCCCAGTTTAGGCAGGAAAATGGCAGTGACTAGTGATGCTTTCAGCCCCTGCACTGCTTTTAGTTGTATGTTTCTTTTTTAGGTGTACACACAAAAAAGAAGACTACTTCCTCGTCTCCTTTTCAATTACCTGGCACAAAGCTGTAAAGATCTCAGAGAGAGCAAACAAAGCTTCTATCAGTCAATCGCCAGCAGTGGAGGCATGTACTTGTGGGCTTTTAAAATTGAAGGCTTCATAGTTATTAAGCCGTTCCTTCAAAGCACATCTCTCTCCGCGAAAAATGATCTCTTCAAAGGGACCTGTTCTTAACGCTGCTGTTTTTTTTTTCCAAACCTGAAATAGCCCTGAAAACAGTTTTCTGCTTCACCTCTGATCTTTTTGTTGTTGCTGTTCTCTCATCACAAAAGGCATACCATGTACAAATATTGGTCATCTTGAACATTTTAAAGCACTTTCTTTGATGGGAATGTTACTGATTTTAATCCAAAGGAAAAAAAAAACTGCCACCAGTCAAAATGATCAACCATGTGTGCTTGTGCCTTCTGAGAATAATAAAACCTACTCGTTGCCTGTGGTTTTGTGCTAACGGTTTTGTTTGATTCCTCCTTCTAAATACACTGTAGATGTTAAATTCGCCCTCTTCCTGCCTGTCAAAAGGATAACTGTAGTGGATGGAGAAACTTCAGATGACATAAAACTAATGGGTTTTAAATTTAACCATGAGGGGAAAAAAGGATGATTGGAAAAGTTTTTGAAGGATCTGAAATTACAAATCCAGCCTCCCTGAGGAGTAGTCTGAAGCGTCGAAGGACCTGTGTAATTCTCTCTCTGATGAAAACTCTTAATACTGATTTATCTGATCAAGAGCGTCTCAACAGCTTTCTCTGGTGTGCTCAAAGAATACTAATAAACCATTCAATGAAGGCCCATTTAGCAAAGGAATGAGTGTGGCTATTGCTGTAAAACAACATAATTTCAGCATTGAGCATCTGATCATCTACAGTATTCAACTGTGACCTCAAACCGTTTCTGAGGCCTTATCAAAACTATTTATTTTACGCTACTTAAAGCAAATAGTTCCGCAAGAGATTTTGCTTATATTGCACTCTGGAACTGGCTTAAAAAAAGAGTAGCTTGGGTTATCCAAACCTGGAGCAAAAACCAACACAACAGAACTGGGTTTGGGTTTGATCTAGGACACTGGGCCAGGTGTTCTAGGTTAAATTGGCCCATGTCTGTCTATTATTAGGGTCAATACACATTTTTATAATTTTTTTTATTTAAATATATGAATTTATTTGAGAGATATGCCTTAGTATTTTTGTAATTTTTTTTCTAATGGTCTATGAGGCAGAACTAAAAGGGGAAAAAAAGTTGTATGACAAAATATTATCCATTAGATGCTTCTTGTCATCCCACTAATCACGATGGCCTTCATGATTAGTTATATTAAAAATTTTTTACAATGAAAGTCTAACCTGAAGTCAACCCGATGGGTGCACTCTTAGAAATGGCTGTAAATTTACAGCGGAATTCCAGCAGTAACATACTGTAATTCAAAATATGGTAGGATATTGTCAATTTGATGTCTTCTGCTGTTGTCACAATCAAGACTGACGACTGGCAGTAAACTACCGCAAAAATAATTGTTCCATACTGTTTTTTTTTTTTTCCCCTAGGCAAGACATTTTACTTGTATTTGCATCTTAGAGGACCAGCATTTAAAGACAATATTAAACGGAAAGAAAAAAAAAAATACTTTCCATAAATCTTTTCGGGAATGAATCGAAATCTACAGAGCATAATCAAAAGTGTTAGATTACCAGTGTTGGTGTTGTATGTTAAAAAATACAATGTTAATTAAACACTTGTTTAGTAAAATTTAAAGATAGGTTTGTCAGTTTCCCTAAAAATATGGTGTTTGATAAAGAGTTGCTCCCACAATCGCAACGTATCTGTGACGTCACGTGTTTGCCCGGTAGACAGCAGTATGGCGTCTTGTCTGGAGCTTATTATAATAAGGTAAGTTCCCCAAAGCTATTAAAACATGCTCTTTATGTTTGTTCTTTAATGTATTTATGTAATGTGATGGTGATGTATTGTCTCAATGTTTGTAACTCCCTGGCGGACATTATACCACTATGTATGCTGCGTTTATACTGTTATGTATTCTGTATCTCAATAAAGATCTATTTCAAAAAAAAAAAAAAAAACAAGGTAAGTTCCATATTAAGACCATCATGTTTTTGATTTTGATTATTTTTTATGAATGCATTAACTTTGTTTGCGCAAGAGTATCAACTTATGTTTAACGTATGTTTATTTGTTTGGATATCGCAAAAACAGAAAGCTGAAGGCTACAGCTTCTCTCTGCAATGCTCTCTGCCTTCGCAGGACCCCTCTTCCGTAGACCGGGTCGTTTCTCAAACCCATGAAAGAATAAGTTTGAAAGGATGCAGACCCTGAATTCGAACACCGGAAGAGCGGAGAGTTCAGTGTGTGTTAGCAGTGAAGCTATTCAGTTGAGTGTAACGGTTTGTTAGAGGGACCTTTCGAACACGGCGTGTTTGAAAGGGGAAGAAGTAGGTCTGAACACCGGCTCTTTACAGGCTGATGCAAGTTGAATGAGGGAGCTGTCAGCTTAACAGTATGATAGAAAGACAGAGAAAATAACCGGACATTTCCTTGATGTCTTTAAGCTCAATTTATATATATATATATTTTTAATTATGGAACACACCAAGTGTCAATTTTCTCATTTTGATGGAGAATATTAGCAACAATTAGCCAGATTTACCAAGCTAGGTTTCATAAATGCTCACATAACGTATGTGAGCATTTACATACGTAAATGTGCTACGGAAGGAGGAAATATAGCGATGTCAGAGCTTTAAATCTGTTTTATTTTTCTGTTTAAAGACTGACTGATCTATTTGTTTAATTCCTTACATCATCAGATTATTTCACATAACATTTCATATTATAAATAAAATATTCCACCAGTGGAACTAGTAGATGTTTTAACTTATATTAAGGAATTATTTACTTAAACAAGCTTATATATCTTGCTCAAAAGTTGCTTATTAATCAGTTTTGTCTTATTTTAAGTGTACAAAGATATTTTCACTAGAAACTGGACAAAAAAAAAATACTTGGTAAAAGTTTGCCTTCAAATGATATAAATTCAACTTTACTGATCCCAAAGGGAAATTAAATGTTGTTATAACTCATATAGATTTGATTAATTAATACATTACCCAAACCATGAATTTCAGTAATTAAATTCAAACTAATCAAACTCAATTTCGTAGAAAATAATCCTAAATAATAAGTAATTAAAATGGATTTTAAACACAGAAATAGTCCAATTATGGGGCGGCTGAACAATATTACAATATCATGAAATAAGCATCTTATATCAGTCTGTATCAATGCTTTTTTAAAATTAGTTTTACTGTTTTAAATATTTGGAATACTTGCCTGTTTTATCCATAGTTTTCACACCACAGTGTTTTTTAAATTATTTTTTATTTCTAAGGAATCTATTCAGCCGTAAAGTTTGTTTTTATTCAAACTTCAGCAGTTTTCTAGTTGTTCCGCTGAGGCAGTGACATCAATTTGTGACATCACACAAATTGATGTCACAAAGAGAACTGATGTCACTCTTGTGGAGCAAGAGTGACATCACAAAGCTGCACGGTCATAACCATTGCAGAAGTCGGAGAGGAAGTACAAGGATTTTCTCCTAACAAGAGATTAAATACTAAAGCTTTTCAAGACAAAAAGTCAACTCCTAACAATCAAATAAAGGAAAACATTGAACAGTTTTTGGATTTGCCTAGAGAAAAAGGATTGACAATGAGTCAAAGCAGTCAGGCGTCATTTTCTGGTTACCAGAATGAGACAACACAGCAGACTTTAGCTAGAAAGGCACAGAAGCTTCAAGACATCTTGACAGTAGTCAGCACGATGTCTATTGAGAGACAGTCTCTGATCAA